CGGTCTCTGCCAAAGTGCACGGCAGCGCCGACGTGTGGAGCTGTAACTACGGTCAGGGACAGTACATGTCATTTACGGCCCACTGGGTGAACGTGGTGCCTGGCACAGCCGCACCAGCAACTTGGACAGGTCACGACGCTTTTGCCTCCACGTTTGCACGTCCTTGGTCCACAAAAGATGTCCGCCTCTACCACCTCTTCTTCCGCCGTGTCCTCAGCCGCCACCCCCGTGCCAAGTCCCATTACCCGACCGGCATATCACATGTGCAGGGCGCAACGGTGTCATGCTGTGCTGCACCTGGTATGCCTTTGGTGAACGTAGTCACACAGGGGAGGAACTTCTCAGTGTAATGAACAGAGAAATCGACAGATGGCTGTCTCCGCGCAAACTGAAAATCGGAACCATGTTGACCGACAACGGAAAGAACATGGTGTCTGCTCTGCGTCAAGGAAGGTTGTGCCATGCGCCATGCATGGCTCATGTGTTCAATCTGGTTGTCAAGCGGTTCCTAAAATCCACCATCCCACTGCAAGACATCCTTAAAATGTCACGTAAACTTTGCATGCATTTCAGCCATTCCTACACCGCAAAGCACACCCTCCTTGAGCTGCAGAACGGAATTCCACAGCATCGCCTGATCTGCGACGTTGCAACAAGGTGGAATTCAACCCTACACATGTTAGACCGCCTTTACGAACAGCGAAAGGCCATCACCGATTTCCTGATGTTACAAGCGGATAAAGGTACTCCCCTGTGTAACTTCGATGTCAGCCATTGGCAGCTCATGCGTGACACCTGCCGCTTGCTCAGGCCCTTTGAGGAGGCCACGCTATTCGTGAGTCGGCAGGACTATGGGATGAACGACGTCATTCCTCTGTTGCACGTCCTGGAACAAATGCTGTTAACAATGGCTGGTCAGGGTGCGGGTAGACGTGGCGCACAGATCTCAACGCCACATGACCCCTGTGGGGGCAGGACAGGAAGAAGAGGAGGAGGTAGAGGAGGACATTGGTGCTCAGGAATTATTGAGTGAAATGGGTGGTTTTTCCACTCAGCGGACAGGAGTGGAGGAGCAGGAGCATCTGGTAGAGGAGGAGGAGGAGACAGAGGACCCAGACGCACCGTGGCAGTATGCTGTGGAGATGGAGGCAGGGAGTCCCTCGCATTCCTTGGCACAAATGGCCCATAGCATGCTCGGTTGCTTGCGTAGCGACAGCCGAATAATAACCATCAGACAGAGGGATGACTTTTGGCTGTCCACCTTGTTGGACCCTCGCTACCGTTCAAAAATGGTGGCCTTTTTCACACCTGCTGAGAGGGAGGCCAAAATAACGTACTATAAAAAACCACCTATGTAGTCAGTTGGTCTCTGCCTTTCTGCGCCAACGTCCATCCTCAGACACTGTGGGCCCTGTGCGCTCGCGTTCCGCTGCCATGGCAGCAGGGGAGGGGTGGGGTGGTAGGAGCAGTGGCAGCTCCACCAGCAGCGGCTGCCACAGTCTGCAGTCGATGATGAGTAGCTTTCTTCACCAGCGCAGTGAGGAAACTACTAACCAGCCGCAGCAGCAGCAGCATCAGGTGGACCTGGAGCAGGACCTCAAACAACAGGCTTGGGCCTACTTGGACAGCACCCTGCCAACCGAGGTAGACAATCCCCTTGACTACTGGGCAACGAAACTTGACCTTTGGCCCCAACTAGCTGAATTTGCCCTTGAAAGGCTGTCATGCCCGGCCAGTAGCGTGGCATCGGAGCGCGTGTTTAGTGCGGCAGGGTATTGTAACTCCGCGGAGGACACGACTGTCCACCCAAAGTGTGGAGAGACTCACGTTTGTGAAAATGAATCAGGCGTTGATTAGTCTGGATTTCAAACCACCAGTTCCTGACACAACTGACTAAATCCGCCATGAATCATGCCCCAAACATGTGCCACTTTCAGGTCTCCTCACACTGCTGGTGTGTTCCATTTTGTCATAGGGTGCTGGCAGATTACGGGCCTCCCATTGCTGCTGCCAGGCCCGTAATCTGCCATGGGCCCCCGTACCGCCTCCTCATGCTGCTGCCAGGTCCAGAGTCTCTCATGGGTCCCTGTACGGCCTCCCATTGCTGCTGTCTCCATCGCCACACTCTGCCATGTGCCACTTTCAGGTCTCCTCACACTGCTGGTGCTGTCCATTTTGTCATAGGGTGCTGGCAGATTACGGGCCTCCCATTGCTGCTGCCAGGCCTGTAATCTGCCATGGGCCCCTGTACCGCCTCCTCCTCATGCTGCTGCCAGGTCCAGAGTGTCTCATGGGTCCCTGTACGGCCTCCCATTGCTGCTGTCTCCATCGCCACACTCTGCCATGTGCCACTTTCAGGTCTCCTCACACTGCTGTGTGCTGTCCATTTTGTCATAGGGTGCTGGCAGATTACGGGCCTCCCATTGCTGCTGCTGCCAGGCCTGTAATCTGCCATGGGCCCCTGTACCGCCTCCTCATGCTGCTGCCAGGTCCAGAGTGTCTCATGGGTCCCTGTACGGCCCTCCCATTGCTGCTGTCTCCATCGCCACACTCTGCCATGTGCCACTTTCAGGTCTCCTCACACACTGCTGGTGTGTGTCCCATTTTGTCATAGGGTGCTGGCAGATTACGGGCCTCCCATTGCTGCTGCCAGGCCCCGGAATCTGCCATGGGCCCCTGTGTACCGCCTCCTCATGCTGCTGCCAGGTCCAGAGTGTCTCATGGGTCCCTGTACGGCCTCCCATTGCTGCTGTCTCCATCGCCACACTCTGCCATGTGCCACTTTCAGGTCTCCTCACACTGCTGGTGTGTTCCATTTTGTCATAGGGTGCTGGCAGATTACGGGCCTCCCATTGCTGCTGCCAGGCCCGTAATCTGCCATGGGCCCCCTGTACCGCCTCCTCATGCTGCTGCCAGGTCCAGAGTCTCTCATGGGTCCCTGTACGGCCTCCCATTGCTGCTGTCTCCATCGCCACACTCTGCCATGTGCCACTTTCAGGTCTCTCTCACACTGCTGGTGTGTGTTCCATTTTGTCATAGGGTGCTGGCAGATTACGGGCCTCCCATTGCTGCCAGGCCTGTAATCTGCCATGGGCCCCGTACCCGCCTCCTCATGCTGCTGCCAGGTCCAGAGTGTCTCATGGGTCCCTGTACGGCCTCCCATTGCTGCTGTCTCCATCGCCACACTCTGCCATGTGCCACTTTCAGGTCTCCTCACACTGCTGGTGTGTTCCATTTTGTCATAGGGTGCTGGCAGATTACGGGCCTCCCATTGCTGCTGCCAGGCCCGTAATCTGCCATGGGCCCCTGTACCGCCTCCTCATGCTGCTGCCAGGTCCACAGTGTCTCATGGGTCCCTGTACGGCCTCCCATTGCTGCTGTCTCCATCGCCACACTCTGCCATGTGCCACTTTCAGGTCTCCTCTCACACTGCTGGTGTGTTCCATTTTGTCATAGGGTGCTGGCAGATTACGGGCCTCCCATTGCTGCTGCCAGGCCTGTAATCTGCCATGGGCCCCTGTACCGCCTCCTCATGCTGCTGCCAGGTCCAGAGTGTCTCATGGGTCCCTGTACGGCCTCCCATTGCTGCTGTCTCCATCGCCACACTCTGCCATGTGCCACTTTCAGGTCTCCTCACACTGCTGGTGTGTTCCATTTTTTGTCATAGGGTGCTGGCAGATTACGGGCCTCCCATTGCTGCTGCCAGGCCCGTAATCTGCCATGGGCCCCTGTACCGCCTCCTCATGCTGCTGCCAGGTCCACAGTGTCTCATGGGTCCCTGTACGGCCTCCCATTGCTGCTGTCTCCATCGCCACACTCTGCCATGTGCCACTTTCAGGTCTCCTCACACACTGCTGGTGTGTTCCATTTTGTCATAGGGTGCTGGCAGATTACGGGCCTCCCATTGCTGCTGCCAGGCCCGTAATCTGCCATGGGCCCCTGTACCGCCTCCTCATGCTGCTGCCAGGTCCCAGAGTCTCATGGGTCCCTGTACGGCCTCCCATTGCTGCTGTCTCCATCGCCACACTCTGCCATGTGCCACTTTCAGGTCTCCTCACACTGCTGGTGCTGTTCCATTTTGTCATAGGGTGCTGGCAGATTACGGGCCTCCCATTGCTGCTGCCAGGCCTGTAATCTGCCATGGGCCCCTGTACCGCCTCCTCTCATGCTGCTGCCAGGTCCCAGAGTCTCTCATGGGTCCCTGTACGGCCTCCCATTGCTGCTGTCTCCATCGCCACACTCTGCCATGTGCCACTTTCAGGTGCCACTTTCAGGTCTCCTCACACTGCTGGTGTGTTCCATTTTGTCATAGGGTGCTGGCAGATTACGGGCCTCCCATTGCTGCTGCCAGGCCCGTAATCTGCCATGGGCCCCTGTACCGCCTCCTCATGCTGCTGCCAGGTCCAGAGTGTCTCATGGGTCCCTGTACGGCCTCCCATTGCTGCTGTCTCCATCGCCACACTCTGCCATGTGCCACTTTCAGGTCTCCTCACACTGCTGGTGCTGTCCATTTTGTCATAGGGTGCTGGCAGATTACGGGCCTCCCATTGCTGCTGCCAGGCCCGTAATCTGCCATGGGCCCCTGTACCGCCGCCTCCTCATGCTGCTGCCAGGTCCAGAGTGTCTCATGGGTCCCTGTACGGCCTCCCATTGCTGCTGTCTCCATCGCCACACTCTGCCATGTGCCACTTTCAGGTCTCCTCCTCACACTGCTGGTGGGTGTTCCATTTTGTCATAGGGTGCTGGCAGATTACGGGCCTCCCATTGCTGCTGCCAGGCCCGTAATCTGCCATGGGCCCCTGTACCGCCTCCTCATGCTGCTGCCAGGTCCAGAGTGTCTCATGGGTCCCTGTACGGCCTCCCATTGCTGCTGTCTCCATCGCCACACTCTGCCATGTGCCACTTTCAGGTCTCCTCACACTGCTGGTGCTGTCCATTTTGTCATAGGGTGCTGGCAGATTACGGGCCTCCCATTGCTGCTGCCAGGCCTGTAATCTGCCATGGGCCCCTGTACCGCCTCCTCATGCTGCTGCCAGGTCCAGAGTGTCTCATGGGTCCCTGTACGGCCTCCCATTGCTGCTGTCTCCTCCATCGCCACACTCTGCCATGTGCCACTTTCAGGTCTCCTCACACTGCTGGTGTGTTCCATTTTGTCATAGGGTGCTGGCAGATTACGGGCCTCCCATTGCTGCTGCCAGGCCCGTAATCTGCCATGGGCCCCCGTACCCCGCGCCTCCTCATGCTGCTGCCAGGTCCAGAGTCTCTCATGGGTCCCTGTACGGCCTCCCATTGCTGCTGTCTCCATCGCCACACTCTGCCATGTGCCACTTTCAGGTCTCCTCACACTGCTGGTGCTGTCCATTTTGTCATAGGGTGCTGGCAGATTACGGGCCTCCCATTGCTGCTGCCAGGCCTGTAATCTGCCATGGGCCCCCTGTACCGCCTCCTCATGCTGCTGCTGCCAGGTCCAGAGTGTCTCATGGGTCCCTGTACGGCCTCCCATTGCTGCTGTCTCCATCGCCACACTCTGCCATGTGCCACTTTCAGGTCTCCTCACACTGCTGGTGTGTTCCATTTTGTCATAGGGTGCTGGCAGATTACGGGCCTCCCATTGCTGCTGCCAGGCCCGTAATCTGCCATGGGCCCCCGTACCGCCTCCTCATGCTGCTGCCAGGTCCAGAGTGTCTCATGGGTCCCTGTACGGCCTCCCATTGCTGCTGTCTCCATCGCCACACTCTGCCATGTGCCACTTTCAGGTCTCCTCACACTGCTGGTGTGTTCCATTTTGTCATAGGGTGCTGGCAGATTACGGGCCTCCCATTAGCTGCTGCCAGGCCCGTAATCTGCCATGGGCCCCCGTACCCCTCCTCCTGCTGCTGCCAGGTCCAGAGTGTTTCATGGGTCCCTGTACGGCCCCATTGCTGCTGTCTCCATCGCCACACTCTGCCATGTGCCACTTTCAGGTCTCCTCACACTGCTGGTGTGTTCCATTTTGTCATAGGGTGCTGGCAGATTACGGGCCTCCCATTGCTGCTGCCAGGCCCGTAATGTGCCATGGGCCCCCGTACCGCCTCCTCATGCTGCTGCCAGGTCCAGAGTGTCTCATGGGTCCCTGTACAGCCTCCCATTGCTGCTGTCTCCATCGCCACACTCTGCTATGTGCCACTTTCAGGTCTCCTCTCACTGCTGGTGGGTTCCATTTTGTCATAGGGTGCTGGCAGATTACGGGCCTCCCATTGCTGCTGCCAGGCTCGTAATCTGCCATGGGCCCCCGTACCGCCTCCTCATGCTGCTGCCAGGTCCAGAGTGTCTCATGGGTCCCTGTACGGCCTCCCATTGCTGCTGTCCTCCATCGCCACACTCTGCCATGTGCCACTTTCAGGTCTCCTCACACTGCTGGTGGGTTCCATTTTGTCATAGGGTGCTGGCAGATTACGGGCCTCCCATTGCTGCTGCCAGGCCCGTAATCTGCCATGGGCCCCCGTACCGCCTCCTCATGCTGCTGCCAGGTCCAGAGTGTGTCATGGGTCCCCTGTACGGCCTCCCATTGCTGCTGTCTCCATCGCCACACTCTGCCATGTGCCACTTTCAGGTCTCCTCACACTGCTGGTGGGTTCCATTTTGTCATAGGGTGCTGTATGGCCTCCCATTGCTGCTGCCAGGTCCAGAGTGTGTCATGGGTCCCTGTACGGCCTCCCATTGCTGCTGCCAGGCCCGTAATCTGCCATGGGCCCCCGTACCGACTCCTCATGCTGCTGCCAGGCCCGTAATCTGTCATGGGCCCCTGTACCGCCTCCTCATGCTGCTGCCAGGTCCAGAGTGTGTCATGGGTCCCTGTACGGCCTCCCATTGCTGCTGTCTCCATCGCCACACTCTGCCATGTGCCACTTTCAGGTCTCCTCACACTGCTGGTGGGTTCCATTTTTGTCATAGGGTGCTGTATGGCCTCCCATTGCTGCTGCCTCCACCGCCACACTGTGGCTCCACACTCTGGTTTTGGCCCCGTGACTGCCCAAATGAGTGAAGTGTGCGGTGATTCTAAGATCGACGGCACTCATCTGCAAGTCATACTGACTGACAGTATTATTTCTCTTCCCCAGCAGACTCCAAGGGCATTTAAATTAAAGGTACAGTGTTCTGCACTAATATAAAGGCTCTCTGAAGCCTAGAAACACCCTTTTTATAAGTTAAATTTGCAGCGAATATATTCGCATCGAATCGAATTTATTCCTCGAATTCGCCGAATCAGCCGAATCGAATTTTTGAATACTTCGCTCATCTCTAGTCACATCATCAATAAATACAAGAGAACCAGTTCCATTGGCAGCCATACATGCCCACGCCATGACACTACCACCACCATGCTTCACTGATGAGGTGGTATGCTTAGGATCATGAGCAGTTCCTTTCCTTCTCCATACTCTTCTCTTCCCATCACTCTGGTACAAGTTGATCTTGGTCTCATCTGTCCATAGGATGTTGTTCCAGAACTGTGAAGGCTTTTTTAGACGTCGTTTGGCAAACTCTAATCTCGCCTTCCTGTTTTTGAGGCTCACCAATGGTTTACATCTTGTGGTGAACCCTCTGTATTCACTCTGGTGACGTCTTCTCTCGATTGTTGACTTTGACACACATACATCTACCTCCTGGAGAGTGTTCTTGATCTGGCCAACTGTTGTGAAGGGTGTTTTCTTCACCAGGGAAAGAATTCTTCGGTCATCCACCACAGTTGTTTTCCGTGGACTTCCGGGTCTTTTGGTGTTGCTGAGCTCACCGGTGCGTTCCTTCTTTTTAAGAATGTTCCAAACAGTTGTTTTTGGCCACGACTAATGTTTTTGCTATCTCTCTGATGGGTTTGTTTTTTTCAGCCTAATGATGGCTTCCTTCATTGATAGTGACAGTTCTTTGGATCTCATCTTGAGAGTTGACAGCAACAGATTCCAAATGCAAATAGCACACTTGAAATGAACTCTGGACCTTTTATCTGCTCATTGTAATTGGGATTATGAGGGAATAACACACAACTGGCCATGGAACAGCTGAGAAGCCAATTGTCCCATTACTTTTGGTCCCTTAACAAGTGGGAGGCACATATGCAAACTGTTGTAATTCCTACACTGTTCACCTGATTTGGATGTAAATACCCTCAAATTAAAGCTGACAGTCTGGAGTTAAAACACATCTTGTTCATTTCATTTCAAATACAATGTGGTGGTGTATAGAGCCAAAAATGTTAGAATTGTGTCGACGTCCCAATATTTATGGACCTGACTGTAAGTATAGCCTATTGTCCTCTCACAGGTCTTCTACATCTTGACCCCATATCTGGCAAGCTTGCTGGGGAGAAATTGTTTGAATGCAAGGCGGCCATAAAAATTAATTAGGGATTCATCAACGCAGATTTTTGCGAGTATAGACATCTGCAAATGTTTGGTTAAGGTGATTTGCGAGGGGCTGAATTTTGTGGAGTTGGTCAAATTCAGGGTTACCCCAAGGATGACAGAGTGCATTGTCGTTGAAATGCATATAACACATTATACTCTCATATCTATGCCTGGCCATGGCAGCAGAGAACACGGGCATATGATGAATCGGGTCTGCGGACCAATATAACTGGAATTCATTTCTTTTAGTAATGCCCATGTTGAGGGTTAGGCCCCCAAAAAAAGTAAATTCGGAAACTGTAATGGGTCTCCATGCGAATGGTCTGGCAAGGTTTGAATTTTGGTTGGCAGCGATAAATTGTTGTGCATATAAATTGCTTTGATCCACAATCAATGCATACAGATATTCCATGAAAAACAGCTCCAAAAATCAAGGGGAGTAGTTACATTTTCTATTTCCACCTGAATTCCGGGTTGGCAGTGAAATGGGGAAGCAAAAGTGCTGCAAAATTTGTGGGCTGCCAATCGGGATTTGCAAGCACATCTGGAAGGATATTAGGGGCTCTACGGGCCTGTGTGCGAATTCTTAGTGGCTGCAGGACAATACTTGTGCTCGCCACCGCACCAGCTTGTACTGGACTTATAGGACTCGCCACGTCACCAAGTCATACTGCAGTGCTATTATTATTATTATCATGCAATATTTATATAGCGCCAACAGTTTGCTCAGCGCTACAATATAACAGGAGACAATACAGTAACAATACAGTTCAATACAAGAGGGTAAGGAGGGCCTGATCCTGGGAGCTTACAATCTAAGAGGCTGCATATGAGAGTCATCAAAATTTACCGGCAAGTGCTAACAGGGTTCAGGCCTGATTCTGCGAACACTGCGGTTTTGTGTGTACTATATCAAGTGACAGTGACCTACTGACCCTGCACTTGCTAGGGGAGAAGGGGGGGGTAAGCGTAGGGGCTAAACGCAGGTGCCCCTTTCAACTTGCCATCCGCTTACCCGCATTTTTTGGGCGAGCACCAGCTCTTGGCAAAGCGATGTAATCTTATGTCACTTCCTATTTTGGGGTGCAAACGCACCTGCTCCCCCCACTGACCCCCCCCCGTCGGTCCAGGAAGAGAAGAGAGAACAAGGCACAGAGTAAAAGCACTACATGTTACACACACACATTAGATTAGCACATTTAACCCTTTGATCACCCCTATTAACCCTTTGATCACCCCATCACCCAACCAGTTCCATTAGTACAGTATCAGTATATAGAATTTTTTGCTGATCACTGTATTAGTGCCACTAGCAACATCAAATAACGTCAGGGTCAGTAAGCTCCTCTCCCACCCAGGGTCAGCTAGTGTTAGATTGCCTGCACACTATCGCACTCATGCTATATTTCGCTGATCACCGCCATTACTAGTATAGTGTTTGTACGGATCAAGATATTGATCATATACAGAACTGTACTAGTGCCTCCTTTGTATAGTGTACCTAAAAACGCAGAGTTTAACAAGATTGGCCAAGTTTGCTGCCAACACTAGCGTTTAGACACTCCAAGGTATTTGCTAAGAGGCATGGTGAGTGTTTTGCAGATCTAATTTGTGGCCACGTGTTTTCTTTTCTTTTTTTCTTTTTCAAAACCCTATGACAAAAATTATATCTGTAAAATACTCACCATGCCTCTTATCAAATTTCTTGGGGTGTCTACTTTCCAAAAAGGGGTCATTTGGGGAGGGGGGGGGGGGGTGTTTGTAATACCCTGGCATTTTAGATCCTCTGAAACTGTGATAAGTAGTGGGAAGTGATATGAGGAAATATGCCCTTTGAAAGCCTGGAGGTGGTCATTGGATTTTGGGGGCTTGTATTTAGCTAGGCTGCCAAAAAGTCTCTCACATGTGGTATCCCCATACTCTGAAGAAGAAGTAGGAGAATGTGTTTTGGGGTGTTATTCCACATATACACATGGCATGCATGAGCAATATATCATTAAAGTGACAACTTTGTGTAAAAAAAAAATATACAAAAAAAAAATTGTCATATTAAAAAAATTTGTGGCAAAAAATAAAATGTTCCATGGATGCAACATGCCTCTCTGCAAAATCATTGGGGTGTCTACTTTCCAAAAAGGGGTCGTTTGGGGGGTTGTACTGCCCTGGCATTCTAGCACCTGAAGAAATGTGATAGGCAATCAGAAAGTAAAAGCTACGTAAATTCCATATATATACCACAGTTTGTAGACGCTATAACTTTCACACGAACCAATTGCTATACATGTATTGAGATATTTTTTTACCAAAGACATGTAACAGAATACATTTTAGCCTAAATTTATGACTGAGTTTATTGAATATTTTTTATAACCAAAAGTGAAAAATATTGTTTTTTTCAACATTTTCGTTCTTTTTTTAGTAAAGACATGTAGCAGAATGCAATTTGCCCTAAATTTATAAAGAAATTTGATTTTTACATTTATTTATTGGATATGTTTTATAGCAAAAAGTCAAAAATATTGGGGGTTTTGTTTTCAAAATTGTTGGTCATTTTTTGTTTATAGCACAAAAAATAAAAACCACAGAGGTGATCAAATACCACCAAAAGAAAGCTCTATTTGTGTGAAAAAAGGGCATACATTTAATTTGGGTACAGCATCGCAGGACCACACAATTACCAGTTGAAAAATGCAGTGCCAAACAGCAAAAAATGTCCTGGTCAGGAAGGGGGGCAAATCCTCTGGAGGGCAAGTGATTAAAGTGGTATTAAAAAGTTTCCCCTGCAAGGCAATGTCATAATGTGCTAGTAAGCATCGCTGCTAACAGGGCTTCCCTCTTCGCCTGGTCCTTCTTCTGGGTTTGTGGGTTCCAGCAGCTTAAATGGCTGAGCCACGATGACGTCACGCACGGCAGTCACTTATTACAGCACACAGCTCTGAAAGAACAGCATGGGCATGCCGTTCCTTTAGAGCACATGCGCTGGTGCTGCTACACAAGTAAATATCTCCTAAACGGTGCAAGTTTAGAAGATATTTAAAGTACCTACAAGTAAGGTCCACTTTAATGGCTACAATTTTTTAGCGAGTTATTTTTACAAATACAAAAAAAGCTATAATGACAGTGGCTACCAGTGTTGCCTTTTTGGATGTGGTGCAGACACACTGGAAATCTTCATCTGCTTTGCAAAGGCAATGTCTGGGCATCTAATGTGTTCATACCTTTAAGAAGGAAAGGTCTTCCTCCAAGTAAGACTGCTCTCTATTTAAGTATTGCTGTGTATGTACCATAGTTGGGAACTCAGATAATATGAAGTTAGAGACCACATTTATCAGAAGTGCCTTTACACGGCAAGGTGGCTTCTATGTTTTTTGCAAATGTATTCAACTAAAGCCTTTTTTCTTAACCTGAGTAGTTGAAACATATTAGCCTAGGTTTTGCTGCATATCTTGACAATGTGCTGGGGACCCTCATTACAAATACAATTATTAAAATGATTGCAAATCTTCTATACAGAAATGGAGTGAAAATGTGTTTGGACACCTCCCTGAATACCATTGACTGGAAGATGCCAGACGAATTGGAGCCTTTGCTTCCTTTTTTTATCTTCCATAAACTGTTTTGTGAAATTTGCATCAACACTATATGAAGAATTTCAACATAAATGTATACATAGACTTTATTTAACAGAATCAATTTAAAGTCCATTAAACATCTAAAAATATTTTGAAAAGTTCTAAAGGAAAATCGTGAAGGAAGTACATCTGATT